CCACTTGACTATTAACTTCACTGGCATGAATTTTAATTCGCGAATTCAGCGTCGAGGTGATATTGGATTTTTAACTTACAATAGGATTTAAATACCATTCTACCCTGCGCCTTTGAAGCACACGTTTGATATTGTTGCGGTGTGATTGGTGAAATTCACAGAAATCACGTAGGAACTATTCTCATATGAAACGAAAACTCACTCTACCAGTTAAGCTGTCGTATAACATTTACGTCCGGGATATAATTAAAGAAATTTTCTGTAGTATGAAGTTTATTGAAAACGGTGTTTTACATAGATTTAGTATATGTATATGGATATACTAAATCTATGATGTTTTACTATCACGATATTAATTTTTTTTTGTGAAGCTATGCTAAGCGAATTTTTATATGCGCTTGTTGCAGGTTTTTATTTTTAATGAATTGTCTGAAGAGCTAACAAATTATTTTTGGCAATATTTCTAACCAAGTTTTTTAACAAGCCGTCGTTAAAATTTGTTTATGAACACGAGTTTGAACGTACTGTGCCTCTATTATGGGATTACAGTGACAATTCTCGCTAACGATTAATATGTCTATGCTAACGACCGCGTAAAATATTTGTGTCACAGATAATTTAATGCTTTACTAGTACAGATACTCAATCTCATACAAAAAATGTAGTAACTCTGCTTATTCGGATCCTTAATTTGATTCTTAACGGTGACCAAAGATGGTACCAAGTAAACCCCGATGCGATTGTAACGATATTCGAAAAGGCCAACAGCTGACAGCTATTACAATATTGTCAAAGTTATTTATTGATTATACATAACATTGATTATATTATATACAATAACGTAATATAATAAAATCGCAAAGAGGCTGAGTTAGTTATTTTTAATATATTAAAATAAAACTCAGTGCTAAAAAGTTACTTAGTTTCGAGAGTAAATTCAAAGTAGTGCCATCTATACAATTTATTGCAGAGCAACAAATCAAAAAGTATACCTTTAACAATCCTTCAAACCTTTTGTAATCTTTTCAACAACAGTTTATTGTTTCCAATGGAAAGAAAGAAAATAATGGTAATGACATCAAACTACATTTGTATCAAAACCGGTGTCGCCACACGCACACATTTGAAAACGTAATTTTACATTAGTACTAAGATAATATAATTTTGATTGGTTAAAAATTATCAAACGAAAATAGACAATAATAAAAAAGTTTTGGTAAAAAAAATTGAAAGTTATTTGGATCTAATAAGGTTTTATTATTACTAGTCACATAGAAGCTAAGAATCCTAAGAACATAAACTTCTTGGACCTAAAGCAAAAAGTTGACAATTTACAGATAGGGATGTGACATTTAATTGATATCGACATTATGTTTCATAGCTAGCGGAATATTGAACAAACCATTGCTTTATACTTGCTATAATTAGGGTTAATCACGGAGTATATGGAAACGGCATTTAAAGCAACTTCTCCGAGAACGAGCGTAGCTGACTTTTATACGCACACATTTGTTACCAAATACGCATAAAGTTTTACTACACGTAAATATTAATTGATATTAGCTACACAGGCGTGTGCGTATACGTAGCTACATGCTACCATCACAGTATTAATTATTTATTATATTGTCATCGTACTTTCATTAACCTACTAGAATTCAAGTCAATCCGATCACAGGAAGGGTTGAAATATTAAAACATAATCATCATAAAAATCTTAATTCTCCCTGGAATACGATATATTTGTATAACAATTACCTCTTTCTGAACTGGCTGAACATGACTACACCTATAGCGTCGACGAGCTTGTCAGGAAAATGAAGATACTTATTTCCGAAGGCAAAGAAGGGAATCATTTGTTTCATGAAAACTTGACGAAAAATAACTGACAATGCTTTAGAAATGTTTTCACATTTGTATGTGGTCTATAATTTGTGAGGACGACTCTGAGTTTCTTGTCCACTTGACTAACCAAATGATTTATTTCTCAATAAATTTTTCGGTTGCTATTCATTTATGTATATAGTTTAATGTGATGTCATAAAGTGCCTATAGCAAATGGTGCTACGTTTAGTAGGTGCCCAGCTTTTACTGCCTCTTACTTCAGCCCATTTCTCTTTTAAAAAGGATTCGGCGGGAAACTAAAAAAAAATCAATACAAAAACTGCAAATGTAAATCATGCCTGTGATAAAACTTAGAACTCAAACGGATGAAGGTGACGTATAATAAGCAAGTAGTTAGATAGGAATCATGTAGATAAGGGAAAGAAAACCACGAGCTTACGTGCAATGTAAAATGATCGATACTGTATCTCTTCTATCTATATTTCCTTTTTTTCCATTAATATATCGGATTTATTTAAATTAAAAATTTTAAAAAACTATTGCGAGTGTTGGGACCAAACATTTAAGTAATCAAAATTGGTAGCTTTTAAATACCTGTAAACAATTTACGTTTACACATTGGTACCGCCATAATAAAGAAAATGTTACACTAAACCAAAACCGGGTTTCTAAATACAGAGTTTCTACATATCGATAATTTGATTACAACACGCGGACCGAGTACTAAGTGTAATACGACGCTAGTGCAAGCAATTCATTGAGCGTCAGTCGAATTGTTCTTTTGACGGCGGCGATGGCTAGCAACCAATGTATATTGTTATTGCCGGGTTCCAAGAAAATAGTTTTGTTTCGGAATTACAGTATTGTACTGTTCAAAATATTAGAAAATACAGAGTTTTAGTACTTACCGATAAAATGAAATCACTCCCGGGGTATTTTTTAAACTTTGGCTTCATACGCGACATGATATAATGGCACAATTCCGTATATTTCTATTTTTTCCACAAAATAATCATGTATCACATTTGAACGACGACTGACGCGCTGTTGACACTCATAGGGACCCCGCCCACCAGTTTATTACTAGTATTTATGTGGTCTGTGCTTTCACCTATTTTAATACTTGTCAATTTATTTTAATTGGACATTAATAAAATGTTGTTTAAGTATGTCTTATTAATGCCTCATGCAGCAGTGTCTGAAATCAGGTTGTGTATCATGATGATGAATATCTCATGCTTCAAATTTTCGAGATTTTCGAAATTTCGAGAGAAAATATAAAAAATAAAAAAAATAAAAATGTAGGTATACATAATTTTAATAGTCCAAACTCATGGTACCACGAATTCGTTTAACCAAGGTAAACAACTCCTTTATGGGGAACTATATACGTTTTTACAATAAGATTTCGGAGCATATATTAAGATTGTCATTTCCTAAGTATAAAAACTACATTAAAATACTTTCATTGAAAAGTCATATTACAAAATTGAAGACTACGTGTTAGATAAAGATGTATGGAAAGACGACATGGATCCAGAATCCACACAAATTTGATTCAAAGTGTATTCCATGGCATTTAAGTTTATTTGAAAAGAGCAATCCCTAGAGTTTCTTGCTCGTTCTCCTCAGGGAGGTCAGCGTAGTGAACGAGCAATAGCTTAAAAGTGACGTTTTCAAGTGTAAATTTATTTTACCTATGGAATAAATGATTGACTGACTGACTTTGACTTTGACTTTGACTTTGATTTATCAATGTGTCGGCATCTATAGTTTTAAATATGTACTGAAGTTAGTTTGAATGAATTAATACCCCAATTTGTGTATATAAAATGTTGTTTCTTCTTGTGATCGCTAGAGGCGCTGTATAATTTGCCATATAAAATTGTGAAGTAATTCACGCGGTCGCTAGCGATAACTGTCACAGAAATCTCATGGTAGAGGCAAAGAGTGCAGTGGAGTCATCGAGTATATAAGAAATAGAGACGAAATAAGGGCCATATATTCCTGGTAACACATTAGCGATACAGGTCTTTTAAACCACTCCCGTTTGCACTGAAATATATACTGGCCAACTATTGACCTATGCGTACGTCGCCGCATATTCCAAAAAATATTCTGTATGTATTGTAATAAAGATAATATCTCTAACAATGCCGTGCTGTTCTATTCGATGGTGTGGGAACAACAGCAAATCATCTAATTACACAACAAACGGAATCACATTTCATCGGTAATTAAATATTAAATATGCAATTTTGCAATTTTCGTCCATTATAGCAAAGCTCAAGTTAACTGTTCGATTTGAAGTGAAACAGTTGACGACACCCATTGACAGCACCCGTCAATTGTTTCGAACTCGGGCTAGCCAATCGGAGCTCAGTTGTCACAGTAATGATAATGATATGGCATAATAGTTTTCAAACAAATTAAATGACATTTCGTCTCTATTTCTGGTTATATACTCGATGAGTGGAGTACAGCGAAATCGTCAATAAGTTTTCCCAAAATATGAAACCGCAAACGTAAATATCAGTAGTACGGCATTTGCGAGCGGCTCTTGTCCGTCAAAGAATCGCATTTTTCATAGACCACAACTTTAGTGTCGTTCCTGCAGTAATTCGTTTTGGACATGGCAAATGGACAAATATTCCGGAAATTCTGTCACATGTGTATGTGTAGTTTTCGTGACTTGATCTAGATTGTTGCATTATCTCTCAGCTTGGTCTGAAATAGAATCTTTTTAGCGGAGATTTCTTTCTAGAGCACCATAATTTCTTCTCGTTATCCTGATTAGGATCGTTGGTTCTAAGTATTGCTCTCGGGCGTTGTTGCTCTGTTTTTCTTTGCTCTTTCCGACCAACGCCTGTTTTAATGTTCTGATTTAAGAAAAGATATTCTAATTAACGGATAAAGACTTGGATTATGTTTTTATGTTTTTTTACACTATAATTTTTCTCGGTCGGTTTTTTATTAAAAAAAACCGACTTTACAATTTTTAGTAGAGCTCCTTGTGAAAGAGTTCATCTAGGGAAGTACTGCCCGTCGAGTCAGGTCCACCATTGACGCCATTGCACAGTGGCGGACGAGGCGGTGAGCAATCGCGAAGTGCTCTTGACATCGCCTACGCCTTCAACACACTGCCATGGTCCACCATGCTAGAGGCGCTGAAGTTCCATTGCGAGCCCGAGTATCTACGGAAGATGGTAGAGTCCTACCTCTCCGACAGAGCCGAAATATTTGGTGGCACGACATTGGTGGCGGGGGGAGCCTCCATTGCTGTTAAGAGTACCATGAAGTACCTCGGACTGGTCCTTGACAGTCAATGGAGGTTCGAAGAGCATTTCCGGCTCCTAGCTCCAAATCTGGTGGGTACAGCTTCCGCCCTGAGTATGCTTTTGCCGAATGTGGGGGAGCCGAGCGCCAACTACCGACGCCTGTATACAGAGGTAGTGCGTTCGATGGCTATGTATGGAGCGCCCATATGGGCAAATAGCCACACCGCTCAAGGCAAGACCCTTATGCGGAGACCGCAGTGAGTCATAACGGTCAGGGTGTCGAGAGCATATCGCACCACCTCTTACGAGGCGGCATGCGTCATGGCAGGTACCCCACTATGGGATCTGGACGCAGAGGGGCTGTCAGCTTTCTACAGTCGGCAGAGCTGAGGGCCGAAGGGGAGGAGCCACTTCTGGAGCACATTAATCGATGTCGAGCCGAGATCTGGCCACTGGACCATCGGAGCGATTCGACCAGTCCTGGCAGAATGGGCGGATCGATCCTGGGGAGGCATCTTCTACCACCTTGCGCAGGTTCTGACGAGCACGATTGCTTCGGCAAATACCTGTGCAATGTGAGACGAGAACCGACGACCGTATGCCATCAGTGTGGCTGCGCCGAAGACACGGCCCAGCACACACTGTAGACATGCCCGGCGTTAGACGAGCAGCGGTCAACCCTGACCGCAATGGTGGGGCACGACCTATCCCTGTCGACCGTGGTGCGAGATATGGTCGGCAGCGAGAGGGCGTGGAGTGCGGTGGCCTCCTTCCGCACCGATATATTGTCGCGGAAAGAGGCGGCGGAGCGGGAGCTAGAGAAAGACCCTTCCTCTCATCCTATGCGCCGCAAACGTTTAGGGCGCAGGCGGCTGGCCTATGCCCGCCATGCCTGCCGCCCTGACAGTGAACCCTGTGTGGCAAAACGGGGGCTTTGTCACTCACTGGGCAAGGGTTCACGGGTTGGTTGGCATGCCAAGTATTCCCGGCATGCCACAGAGTGGGGACGGTAAAATCTCCCAGAGGTGGGTCCGCAGTCGCGGACAACCGCAGGCGGGGCCGTGGATCGTAAACCACTTGGCCACAGCCCTGTCCCATGCGGAGTGTGGGAATACCCGGGGGTTTTTAGTGAGTAGGAGTCTCACATAACCACGGCGCCTCCCCGTGACGCGGTGGTATCCATGATGGACTTTCCCCCGGAAAAAAAAGGGAAGTACCTTACCCGTTTCTGCCGCCAAACAGTAATATCAACGTTACTGTGTTTCGGTCTTTAAGGGTAAGGGTGCTAAATTATAAGCACATGGGACTTGTCAAGGTACGTCTCAGGGTAACGGGCGCAGTGGCAGTTATCCTCAGATCTTTGCGATTTTAAGCTCTGAGTGGCCTGCAAGTGTTATGAACGGGCGTGTAGCTTTCCATCAGGCGCACTGCTTGTTCGTCCCGTCACTTGACATTAGAAAAGAAAGTTAGTTTTGCTATCCCTGTATTCTTTACCATGGTCTCCATTAGGACAACTGAATTTATCTTTGAGAGGTCTACTCAAAAAAAAAAACGAATAATGTATAAATACACACTCAATTGTGCCCCCGCTAGGGAAACCTTGTGTCGCGGGTACCTTGGACACGCAAACAGACAACCACAAATTACACCTAAACTCACGAGAGAAATAAATGTAGGCCATACAAATATTTCTCCCGGCCCGGGAATCGAAATGGGACCTCAACGTGGCAGTCCGGTCACGGAGGCAGTCAATATGAGCCCAAACACAAAGTAGTTGCTGTACAATAAAGGAGTGCTTCTCATGTCTTCCATCAAGTGATCAGTTCTACATCACGATAACATTCTGCTTTCATTGGAATTACATCTATTGTAATTGCCAAGTTTTTATACGTCTTACAGCTCCTATCAGGCGAGGCTTTAGGCCATAGTCCGTCACCCTGGCCTAATGCGGGTTAGGAACTTCCTCGACGTGCAGGTTTCTTCACGAAAAGCTCATGGTAAATTACAAATAAAATTTCGCACATGAATTCCGAGAAATTCAGATGAGCGAGTCTGGATTCCAACCCACGGTGAAATTCAATACAATACATTCATCCCATCACCTTTAGAGATTTTTTTTTTCAATTTAGAATGGGATAACTATTGAAGTACCTCCTTTTCAACAAAAAAGAATCATCGAAATCATACAAATCTAGAAAACTCGGACCCACTTGGGATGTTGCTTGTGCACTAAGTCCGATTCCAATCCGATAAAATACGAGTATCACTTGTACCAAGAGATAAAACATCGAGTACAACCAGAAATGGAGACGAAATGTCATTTGATTTCTTTGAAAACTATTCTGCCATATCGTTACGGTGACAACGGGCCAGTCCGATTTCGGAACAATGGACAGGTGTCATCAATTGTTTCACTTCAAAAGGACCACTTTAACTTGGACGATAATTGAAAAATTACATGATTTAATATTTAATTACCTATGAAATGTTATACCGTTTGTTTTGTAATTAGACTTTTACGGTTTTTCCCACACCACCGAATAGAACAGCCCCTATATTTAGAGGTATTATCTTTATTAGGTACAATAAACACAGAATATTTTTGGAATATACGGAGACGTACATACAGGTCAGTTGTTGACGCTGTACTATTTCACCTCTCTAATTTGTGGTTTCGGCGCAAACGAGGGTTGATAATTAAAAGTAATATCAATACCATTTGACTGATGAGTTGCCAGAGATGAATGGCCCTTATTTCGTCTCTATTTCTGGTTATATACTCGATGAGACGATCCTTATGACATTTCGAACCGTCATTTCTCGTATTCGGATCCGATACGAATCAGTACAGAGCAAACGCTCTAATCGCGTAACGCGTAACATAAAAAAAAACAGTCGATTTGAAAACCCCTCGTTTTTCGAGATCGCTTGAAAAGAGAATTTTTGATTGGATGTCGAATCATCCGCATGTTCACGGTCATCGACCACAGAGTTGATATCATTTATGGTTGGAAAAGATTTTTCCTTTCTGGCCGTGTTAGTCAGCAACCGGAAACCAGTATATTTACATATGTCGTACCGCACGACCTTTTTCACGAGTTCAAAGGTTTTTTTTGCTCTTTTAATACACCGACAACATCAAATGAAGGCTATACAAGACAAGAGTGGTTTAGACGTACAAATAATGCAGGCGGACAAAATGATAATAATGTTTTCGGGAACTAGAATTTGTTGATATGTTAACCTCTAGAGGCTGTGAGCGAGAATTTGTGATTGATTTGGGTTCTGATTTCTATGTTAGTTGAAAAAAAAAAAAGGTACTGTGAACTTCAGGTCAAAATAACACATGTGTAAAGCTTCAAAATAAGACGTATGCTTGGCATATCGTGGGTACAAAGGGTTACCAATATTGAGGTTCTCCGTTGTATGAGAAAAGAGTTTGAAATACTTAGAATTGTAAAGGTAAGGTAGCTGCAATATTTTGGCCACGTAATGAGGGGTAATAGATACCGGATTCTTCTGCTAATAATGCAGGGGAAAATACAAGTAAAGCGTAGTCAAGGGAGAAGGAAAACCTCGTGGTTGAAGAACCTGAGAGACTGGTTCCACCATAGCACACGTTCCCTCTTTCGTGCGGTAGCTCCAAAAATGACAATAGCCGTGATGGTCGCCAACCTTCGTAGAGAAGCGGCACACTAAGAAGAAGAAAGCTTCAATAGAGTTGAATTTTATTCATTCGCAATTTAAGTGATGGGACAAACAAGTCATGCGCCTGGTGATAAGATGTTTATGCGAGTTGAGAAGTTCCATTATGACCTTCAAAACCGAAACAGTAATATCCACATTACTGCTTGGCGGCAGAATATGTAAGATCGCAGTACTTCCCCGGACGAACTCTTGTGAAAGGAGTTCTACTGATACTTATAATGTGTTTATTTTTAACCGACTTTAAAAAGAAGGAGGTGCTTAATTCGAATGTATTTTTTGGTATATGTTAAACGATAAATTGCATATGAAAACCGATTTTGATGATTATTTTTTTTAGAAAGAGGATACCTCCGTATTGGTTCTGTTGAAATTTGAAGAAAATATTAAAATTCTCAGGGTGGCAAACTAGGGGATAAGTCCGGTTTCGTGCACTTTCCGGTAATCAATTTCAATAAAACTTGGCAAATAGATGTAATTCCACGCATTCTTGAGGTCGATTTTTTTAATAAAAAAATTACAATTATTAAATAATAATAATAACACCATTGACTTTCAAATAAATGGACGACGGGTCTAATACAAAAACCACGAAAAAAATGTCCCAAGTCAACCTATTCGAAATTTAAATTGTAATCTCATCGCAGTATCGCGCTGTCAGTCGAACAAATGAAGACTAAAGCGGAGTTTGGCGCTCTGTATACGATTTTAGCGCCTTACAAGTGCGGACACTTTTTAGCGCGGACCCGACGTCCATATAATTGTAAGTCAATGAATAACACACACACTCATAGCCTCGCACTAGGGAAACCCTGTATCGCGGGTGGCATGGACACGCATATAGACAACCATAAATTGTAATCAAACGTCATAAAAAAAACTCCCGGCCCGGGAATCGAAGCCGGGACCTCTACGTGGCAGTCCAGCGTAGTAACCGCTTCTCCGCGGAGACAAAAAAAAACCATTTGAAACATTGAATTAAAAAATGATATTAGCCTCACTCGCAGATTTCTTGAACAGCTCGTTGAATACTAGGTCCGGATCAATTAGTTTAAATTGGTTGAAAGTTTTGACGCCCAATGAGTAGTGGGAATGGTACATTTGTGAATGTTTAATAACAGTACCTTTCGTTAGCTAAGAAGGAATAAATCGCGATGAAGCGATGAATATTAAATAAAACAAATAAAATCATTGGCTTGCAAATAAATGGACGACGGGTCTAATACAAAAACCACGAAAAAAATGTCCCAAGTCAACCTATTTAAACGTAGTGGCATTTAAAGGAATATGAAAAGGCTAAAACGTTGAATTTAAATTGTAATGTCATCGCAGTACTGTCTAATTTTGCTTGCTTCGCTGTCAGTCGAACAAACGAAGACTAAAGCATGAATGACGCTCTGTATACGATTTTAACGCCCTATAAGTTCGGACACTTTTTAGCGCGGACCCGACGTCCATATAATTGTAAGTCAATGAATAAAATAAAATGTTTCCTTATTTAGGTTAGGTACCCATTAATAAATTTAACATTACTTATTACGTTACATAACATTTAAATTGAATTTTATTAACGAAAATTATTATTATTAGCGTAGTAAATATACTTACCAATAAATACAAATGTTTATAATTAATTTATTTATATTTAAAAATGGATTGTTCGCTTAAAAAGTAGCATGTGTCGCATACTGTCCTTACAATAATATTGACCGAATCGCTCTCAATGTTGTAAGAAAACACCAATGCAAACATGCCATACTGATTACAAAGAATGACGCTTGTATTACTAAGATAATCGCAGTACAAAGTACTAAAAAACCGACCTCAAAAGTTCCTAGAATTACATCTATTTTAAATTTTCATTGAATTCAATAAAAATGTAAAATACAGTGAATAGCGACATCTCTCGCCAGGACTGGTAGCTGTAAAGGTACTAACTGGG